TGAGCATCTGGACCCTTTTCATATTTTATTTATTTTCTATGCTTGTTTGCTTCCTACTTGTCGATGCTCAGTTTGGGATTTGGCAGCTAATTAAATTTTAAAATATTTTGCTTAAAGAGAATATAAGATACAAACTTGTATCTTATTTCAGGAAAATAAATTAATATCCGTATGTTTCCTTAAGGTTTTGCTATGTATTCACATATGTTTCGCCTGTTGCTAAAATTTTTTGTATCCAAACGCCAAAAAATTTCTACTTTTAATGTGTTTTTCCTGTGCTTTTCCAATTTTTTTTCTAATATAAACTTGAAAGCGAACTGATGTTCCTCGATTGGTTGCTTTATATTGCCTCACGATACAAAGAGGCTTCGATTAGGCCAACAAATTGCAGTTCTTTCGTTGGTTAATTGAAAGCCTGGCTCTTGCTGCTCTCGATTTAAATCTCTTTTTTGGTTTTCCTGGGGTTCGAGTCGAGGAAAGCATTCAATTGCGGCAGCTGCCACATCCTGCCACATGGCCAGGATATGGAGTTTGGCTCTGCTCGACTGCTGCCTGCTGGCTGCAATCGACAAAATGTGCTTCAATAGTTTTCTAATGGACTTCATCCGCCATTTAATGCACACACTCACACTCGCCGGGGCAATTGAGGTCCGAAAAAGGCGAACACGTTGGCAGCTTGCAAAGATTAATGATCAATGCAGGCGCAGGACATGGCAGGATACGCCCAAGACCCACTCACACACACACACACACACACACACACTGGACGCGATAATATGCGATTTGGAGCCTGGCATCGAGGCGTTTCAATAAAAATCCTTCTGCCACGCCCCCCTAGAAACACTCCACTCGACTCCAGTCGCCCAGATGCTACGACTGCTATTGACAGAGCCATCGAGCAGCGACAGGAGGATATCCACATCCTCATCCTCATCCACATCCACATACCATCCTCATCCTTTTCCCCCTACATGTGCCAGAGAATCGAATCCTTTCGCAGCAAAGCACTTGCCATGCATGAAGTTATTTAATAAAAATTGAATGGCTCTCCCTCCATCGCCCAGAAAACTTTCTGTTTGTGTTTGGTTATCGATATGAGCAGCCAGCCAATCGGTATTGCTGGATGAACTCCATTTTCCGTTCTGGAAGGCTATTAAAATCAATGCAGGCGTATAAGGAGCGAAGGTGAATAGATTCGGCAATCGAACAATTTAAGATTTGTACATTGGTTGACAGACCATTTAATGAACATCTTCTGAACATTCAGGATAGATAGATTCAGGGACTCCAATTAATATAAACTGTATAGCTAACTAATTCTAGAACATAAAATGAGGTAAAACTTAGTAATTAAAATATATACGACTGCAAATTTAGTATCCATAATTAGTGCTGTTTAATTTATTCCATCACCATCCAAAAAACCAACCTCCACCAAATATGTTTTTGGTTTCATTGTAATAGCTGGGGTTCCATCGTGGCACAAATGAGCCAATAGCTCTCTCTCAAACTCCCCTACCAATCGCAATATTAAAAGTTTGCCATGAATTCATTCATTCCACCCTCAATATTTCCACCTGATGGATCCATTTCCGTAAGCGTGAAACTGGCGCATCTGGGGCTGTTTAATTTTTTCCGAGCTAGGAATTCAATTCGTGATGTGAAATGTAATATGCATTAAAATTATAATGCGCACACGTTAAAAGAGTCTCGGGCTCTGCTGCTCGCTGTATGAAATTCCCAAAAGCCAGGGCGAATGCACTGATGTGGGTGGTCTATACAAATTTTCCTTCTCCCCGGCAGTTTTCGCTAAATCCGCTCAGTGTAGTTTGGCAAATTGTGCTGCGTTATCCACCCGCCAACTTTTATGCCTACATGGGGTGTAAAAGGGGGTATTTGCACCAGAACCGGGACTCCTCTCACCCACACAAGTGTCTGCCGTAATTGCCGCCGTGCTGTTGATTACACTTCAACGGCCAACACACACACACACACATACACACCACCCACCAAACCAGCCCCGCATAAACTTGGCCAACACCCACACATCTTCATTCGGGCGGCACTCGCCCGCTGGGCTTTTAACTGCGCTAGTTTCCGCCATAAACTCGAGCTGCAGAACTGCAGCTGCATCTGTATCTGCAGCTGGAGCTGGGAGCCCAAGCTGTAGTTCCACGTGATTGCCAGCCGACAAAGTTGTCCTTTAACTTTTATTTCACTGAGATTGAAGTGGGTTCTTGATCTTTCCTTGAAAGGAAATCCAAACGAAAAATGTGGGCTTTTAATAACTGAATATTTCAGTGTTCGACTTAAACATTTTTAAAAGAGTGAAGGCATAATTAAGTGTGCAAATGTTTGTTTGGAAATAATAGAGAAAAATCACTAACGGAGTTATGTTATGCCTATAATCAGTAAAATCTTATTAAATTTAAAAATTGTTAAGTTTATATTTAATTTAGCTTGTATATTTTTTATATACAGCCGTATTTGTTGTTATTGTAGTTGTAGATGGTTTTAACTCGAATTCTAAAATATAAAGATCGTTAAAAACCAGATAAGAAAGTAACAATATTGAATAAGTTTAACTTTTGCATTACCTGTTACGGCATGCGTTGGTAGGACTTTGTATCCTTTTGAGCGGTCTCGCTTTTAGGAACCTTCGTTTTTTCATCTTTACCCGTAATCCTATTAAGGCAAAAATAATAATAAGAACTGATTTCTACATTTTCTGGCAGAACTGCTTGTAACTCACCTCTCCTTTAAAAGTTTTAGCGTTGAGCCGTTAAGAATAAACAGCACAAATATGATGGTACCTTGAGACCAGTTAAAATAGTCAGCCACCATAAGTACGTCTTCCCAAAATTTGTTGCCTTGCACCAAGTAGGACACTATTTCAAAAGACCACGAAATACCCATCATAATGAAGAGGTGCGGAAAGAAGGCGAAACTGTATTGGGAAGTGGAGAAATTTTAAATCATATAGTTTCGAATTATTATATGGCTTACTCTTTTACGATGGGTGCAGGATCCACCTTTTGATTATGCTCAGAGTTGCATTTCATTTCAATCAAATGAATTACAGTCATGATAAACATGATAACATTTAATACTACTATCAAAAGTATGGGTCCATAAAAGTAGATCATCGCAGACCAGTCTCGACCTATGGAAGTTGCTTATGTTTTAACAAAGAGGAATACAACGAAAATTCGGAACTCACTATTGATCCAACAAAGGTCATCTTTTCCAACGCGAGGATTCAAATCGTTTATCTCTACTAACTTATTGGCCAGAAAAGTGATTCCGGTCAGGACCACCTCAGTGCCCCAGGCATAAGTCCAAAAGACCAAGAAAGGAAGTTTTGAAGGGGTACCTCTGAATTTGTTATAGACGTTAAAACTAATGGCATTCAGCCACAAGAACGCGGAAATGACGAAAAAGTAGCCTAGAAAACCTGATGAAGATGTAAAAGATGAATGTTACTATTCAATTACTCCCTGGTCATACAATCGCCATCTGCTCACCTGCTGTCATGCAAAAGCCCTTTGATAAGTCCCACAAATCAAAAAGTAGGAATTGGTATCCCATAAAGAGACAGCCCATGTAACAGATAAAGCACTTTCCGACTAGGTCTCGCAGCTTCTGAACTAAGAGATATACGCTGATCGTCAGAAGTAAGCATATCATCGATATTATCATCACTGGGTGAAGAGAGAACAAATGTAATTGGAAATTCAGGTAGTGCTTAAAAAGATTTTTTTCAACTTACCGACAGTCTGTCCTGTTTTAGAAGCTTTGCAGAAATGGGGTACAATTCGAATACTGCCGTCTTCAAGCAACTGAGGCTGCATGCAGTATTCCCTCTGGTTCATTGTCACCTTGTCATGGTGGCGCAATAGGGTTCCATCCTTTGAAGGGAAAATACCGATTAAACCCGCCTAGTTTACTATACTGTACTAAGGAGTACCTCAAACAACGTGTACCCATTCGATTCAGTTTTGTTGTCCAGGTACAACATATTCGTAGTTTCACAGGACATGGGCTTATTCCATTGCCGGTTTACGTATTTTTTGATCAACAATCCATTGTAGAGGGTTACGTCCACAGAAAAATCTATCTTGTTCATTTCCCACTCGGTCATGCCGAAACACTCACCGTTTATTAATACCTGGTCTTTAAGACAGCATAAACTGACATGAAAACCATCGAAGTACTGCGCGTTTATAGTTTGTATCATCAGCAAAAGAGCTGTGACAAACGACCCCAGAAGAATCCGCATTTTTCCCACAAAAAAAACTGAAAAATAAAATATATATGATTTAGGCCGCAATATTTAAATTGTGATGAATACTTGGCGACAGAGAACACAGACTAATTTAATTTGGATTGGCTTACTAAAGTCCGTATCCCACATAAAAAGAACTATCTATTTTTCTGAATTCTAGTAGCCCTGTTACGCAGAATCCAGTTTTTGATAACATTTTCAACACAAATAAAGATCATAAATAATATAAGAATACACATTTTTTATAGATTTTTTTCATATATAAAGCCAATTAAAACTAGACCGAAGCAAAAATATAATGCTTACATTTGGACACAAGGATATTTCAGATCCACACGCAACTTTTTTGTTTTGTTAGTTCACGACAATGGTTTTCAGAAGACTGGTTCAAGACTTACGGAGTCAGCGATATAAAGTATTATTTAAATGAGTAACATTTTGATGGAGTTATCGCATAGCAAAAAGTTGAGAAATGTTGGAATAACCCAGCATTACTGATAACAGGCCAGCGGGTTGCGTTTAAAATTTTTGGGAGTACATCACTTTGTTTAATAATGATTATGATTCATTTATACATTTGTATATGTTACTGAGCTGAAAAAGGTTTAAGGAGGATGAGAAATACTATCATGCACTGAATGCGTCATTTTAAATTTAATATTAGTACGAAAAATATAAAGAGTGACTTTTAAGAATAGTTTTGATTTTGCCTGTGCAGACTAAGTCATCTTTAGGAGCTGTTTCACTGGGTTTACAGGACGCACTTCGAGAATACTTTAAATAAATCTCCCAGTTTGTAGTGGATAGGGTCTAATGAGAGGAAAAAGCTAGGTTAATTACTAAAACATTGATAACGAAATGTTTTCTGATTACCCGTGGTAGGATTCATTGATCTAAGTTCATATTTTCAAGCTGGATCATGTTCTGAAAGGCTTGTGTTTTTTCACTTCTTCAAAAGATAATTAAAAGAATTGGTTAAACGAACATTTTGAATAATCGCCGGTTACTTACCTCTTCTTTAAAAGTTGTAGAGTTCTTCTCTTTAAAACCAACACCACAAATATGATGATACCTTGGGACCAATTAATATAATCAGTCACCCGAAAAAGGTCTATCCAAAATGGGTTGGCTCTCGCTAAGTAGGATATTATCTCAAAGCTCCACGAAAGACCCATAGTAATGAAGAGCCGAAGAAATAAGGTGAAGCTGTAATAGAAAATAAATGATGAAACTAAAAACATTTAAGTCCTTTTCTGTATCGGCTTACATGTATTTGGCTTTTATAGGTTTCTGCTTTCTTTTTAGATACTCCGATCTAGTTTTCACAAAATAAATAAGAGTCAGGATATACATAATTGTATTGAAAACAACTATCAAGAGCATCGGCCCGTAGAAGTAGACCATGGCAGACCAATCTTGAGCTATGTGAAGAAAGAAGATATGTATCACTGCTCCAAAGATGAATTTCAAACCGGAACCCACTGTAGATCCAACACTGTCCTCCGCTTCCCACACGAGGATTCAACTCCTCGTCCTCTACGATCTCATTTGCCAGATAGGTCACTCCAGTAAAGGCCAGCGCTACGCTCCAGGCGAAGATGTTTCTAGTCAGAAAACGATGGTTAGTTAGGAAGAATTTGGCAAGGAAGGAGTTAGTATTAAAGGTTATATATAGTTCCCGACTGATAACAGAAAGCCAAAGAAACGCTGCCATGATGAAAAAGTAGCCGAGGAAACCTGATGAAGATGAAAAAGAACGATGTTACTATTAAACTGTTGATTGTCCATAGAGTCGCTATCAGCTAACCTGCTGTCATGCAGAAGCAATGCGATATGTTCCACAAATCGAAAAGTAGGAATAGGTATCCCATAAAAAGGCAAACCATGTAGCACATGATGCACTTTCCTACTAAGTTTCTCAGTTTCTTAAATATTAGATATACGCTGATCGTCAGAAGCAAACCTATCATCGATATTATCGTCACTGTGCATAGAAGGTATGGATGGTTATAAAGTACTTTGGTTGCTTATGCATTTCACTTACCGATGGTCTGCCCTGTTTTAGGAGCTAAGCAGCTATGGGGTACAATTTGAATATTGCCGTCTTTGAAGAAATGAGGCTGTAGGCAGTAGTCCCACTTGCTCAGTGTCACCATGTCAAAATGGAGCAAAAGGGTTCCATTCTAGGGATGGGAAATAACGACTAAACTCGGCACGGCTAGTATGTATATTAAAAAGTACCTCAAACCCAGTGTACCGATTTGTTTTATCTCGGCTGTCCAAATAGAACATCTTGGTAGTTTCACAAGGCATGGGTAAATCCCACTGAACCTTTAGGTCGTTCTTAATTTTCCTATTGACCAGCGATCCGTTGTCGAGGGTTATATTTATAGAAAGATCTAGTGCGTTTAGCTCTGTGTCCGTCATGTTGGAACACACTCCGTTTTTCATTACCTGGTTGCGAGGACAGCAAAATCTTACGCAGGTCCTTACTTTGCAGACACATCCTCTTAAGTGGCGCGTCACTTTCTCCTGCGAATCCGGCCTGATATCATATTCAGCCGTCAAGTGGGCCGGAATGAGTAGGCCCTCATATAAGTATGATTCGTTGGAAAGTTTCTGTGCTGACGAGAGGTCCACAGTGTCAATGATATTGCAACCTATAATCTCCGCATTTGTCTTTTGCGACATAAGCGAAAGACCTATGACAAAGGAACTTAGAATAACCCACATTTTTCTGAAAGAAAAGTCAAAAATTGAAGTTTCTTTGAACAAAGTACGTGAAAAGCGAATAAGACTTGTTGACTAATAAAGGTTATAGGCCGGACGATCTATTAGAAAGTACCGTTTCATTGTTTACGTCTAAATCTGTATGTATTGACGGCCTTAAAAAGTTAATAAACATACCGTGAAATCGATCTATTCCATTTTTTTTTTACAAAGACCTGAGGCACACAATAACTGACTCCAAAATAAATACAAATTCCAAGTGTAAGCGAAATTACTTCGAGTGTTCCCGACAACGAATTTTCGCCGACTGTCTGGGTGTAGCGAGATCTTTTTTAAATTTGCTTCTGATAAATCGGTGATGTTATATGTTTGGGTATTTTTCGAATCCGTATCAACTGTAACACTTTTGTCGCCTCTTCCATACGTATATGCATATGGATGTGTCCCTCTTTAGTTCGAGAGCTCTGGATCCCCGACTAAACGGCTCGTTTTCCCTTCATTTCCCGCTCCTTTTTGCTTTTCCCCCAGTTTTAGATTCTTCCTGTGAGCTGTGGCAACAGCTATATTTGAATATTTAATTTTTTAGCGAGCTGGGAACATTTCGCACTTCGGAACCTGACGCTAAACGATGCCATAGAGCTATCGTTGTTACCCGCCCAGCCGTTCCATCAGCAACCCAACCACCCAACGAACGCCCCCTTTATTTCTGCCCGTGTATGCGGGGGTTTTTCGAAAGGCAAACAAAATGCTTTCGACGCCAAATGAATCAGCTCATGTTATATACATACTGCTATATGTATATGCTAGCTTAGTTGATTGCGAGTTCAATGCTCGCTTTGAGGACACAGCCCAATTGGCTTCTGCCGAATTGTCCAAATTCATAATTAATATAATTTCGACACGATTCAGTTTGATGTGGCACCACCCATCGACCCACCTCACTGCCCATTTTTCACCTGTCACGTTTTTAATTAAAAGAATTTCGCTTTAATAAATTCAACTTTGACAGCAGTAGGTCGCCAGAAGGTGCCAGGCAAAATAATGAATGAGTGGCGAATGCACCCAGCTCATGTTTAACCGTTTCGCCAGTTAACCGGGCAACAATTTAAGCGTTCTTTCAATATTTAATTGACATGGTCGACTTGGTCGCTGTAAAGGAATCCCCATCGCAATTCCGTTTCAAAAGAATGGCCGAAAGGATTGTCGTTCGTAGTCGCTTGCGTAATCAATTTGCGTTCTGTTTGGCAGTTCCCTTTAATGTTGAATGGGGATCAAAGGACTTATAGAGCAGTTGTGGGCTTACCTCATTACAAAAATTGTTTTCTGATTATCTTTTTCGAAATCTTGTCTTTATCAATATATTAAAAGATTAGTCTTAACTATGAATAAATATTTTACTGGCATTTGGCACATGTTTATGTATATATCGTCTATAAAAATCTTATATATCATGTATTTAACAATAGAACATTAATCTTTAACCTACTTGGGTGCAGTGTTCTCAGATGAAATCCCATTAATCCTTTGACATTTTAGTGTATTTTAACTTAATTTATGCCAATGATCATTTTCAATTTCCTTTCCCGTACTCTACCAAAGATTTTTCGTTGGGAAATTCCATTAATCCGTTTGACATTTTGCCGTTGAGTTGAAGCGACCCAGTTTGACATCGCCTTCAGTGCGAAAATCTCGAAACTTTTTTCCTGATTTTTTTTTCCAGTTTTTTACCCCAAAAGAGCACGTCGAAGAAGTAGGAGCAGAAAAGTTGGCTAAAGAGGCGGGGGTGGAAAAAGCAAAAAATACGCGCCAAACTGTATGACATTATGGCCATTGCCAGGAGTTGTTGTTGATGTTGCTGGCCCACGCGCTCTACGTGCAATGTCACCCATAATGTCAACCCCACCTACATATACCGAACTCAGTGACACTGAGAAAAAATAGCACGCAAACCCAAAAACTATCCTTTAAATTCTAATTTTTTCATTATTTTTTTATATTTAACAAAGTGTTATTCGTCCTATAAACAGGCTATGATATCTGATATGCCAACAAACAGGAACATATTTTTAAGAAAGAACAGGATTAAGAAATCGATTTCCGGAAAATACGAGTTCCAGTTCAAGTTTTTTTCGATTAAATAAAAAATATGACCTTAAGAAAGCTAAAAATGGCTGCATTACAAAATTGAAAAAAGTTTTTTTTTAATAGGTTGGGTCCCTGAACCTTGAAAACACTACAAGAACTTAATGAATATTTCATTATTTAGGAGTATATAAAATTAGAATTGCTGCTTTTAAATTTACACCGTTCAAGTGAAAAACAAAACTTATTAATATTGTAATTTTCACAATTTAATATGTCTGTATTAGTTCCTATGTATCACATACTGATAATTTCTTTCTGTGTACTCAACTACACCCACTAATACCCCGCACACCTTTATAGAAATCCACTCACACTCGCTGAAACTTCCGCTCTGGTTGCATTGTTCATTTAAATTCTAATTTGTATTTGGTGCACTCGACAGTGGGACAGCCTTCAGGGCGGGATTAGGGGGCGTGGCAGAGGACAGTGGGCGTTGGGTGGCGGCAGAGGACACGTTTCCTGCCAGTGGACAGGTGTATAGGTCGACATGGGCCCTGACTTCGAACCACCCTAAATATGCACAAAAAGAAGTCAGCACAGCCAGTGCTCCAATAATGTCCTTGAAAAAAGGCAAATTCAACTTGCCAACTTTCGTTTGCTGCTTTTTCGTGGGCGTAGGTGAGACTTCGCCAGGGGGCGTGGCCCCCCCAACATACACAATTTGTTATTGTTACCTGCTCGACTCTCCAGGTGAGTTCATCTTGATTCCGCTTTTCGCTGGCAAATTTGAATTTCCTCTAGATTTGCAATCATATTTTCAAGAGAGCGAAAATTCTATTGCTTAGAAAAATCATCTGCAAGTATTGAAAGTGCATAAATTTCTTGATAAACCAAAGTTTGACAAAGTTTTTGCGCAAAGAAAATGTGCTAAATTAAGAAGAAAACTTTGGTTCGCTTGGGGTTTTTCAAAGAATGTAGTTTTAATGTGTTTTAAGAAATTATTTTAAGCTTGCTTAGAAGAAAAGTTAAAATGAATGAAAATAAAATAGTTTAATTTAATCAATTTCTGTGTATTAAACTGATTTTGAAATGTTAATCTCTTTCTTTAAATTTAACTTGGGTAATTCCCTTTCCACTTTCTTTTCCCCTGTCTCATTCCGTAATCTAGAATTTCCTTATCTTACTTTCATTGCATTGTTGGCTATCGGCAATTCCAATCTGTAGGCTCCCCGGTTTTTCCGGCGTTTCCCTGCATTTTCCCTCGCCAGTTAAGCCGACATGTCGTTTCATTTAAAGTTTATCGCGTTTTCCCTTTGCTTTCCATCCCCCTTTCCAGCCCCTTTCCATCCCGTTTCCATCCCTTTCCTTCGGTTTTAGTGGGCATTCTGAGTTTTTTAATTCAGTTGCAGTTTGTTATTGGCGCTGCTTTAGTTGATTAAAAACCGCACTCAAAGTGGAAATGCGCTTTTCTTTGTTCGCCCCTCCATCTGGCTATCTCTTTCCCTTGCACCATCCCCGTCTCTGTCGCACAGTGTGTCTTATGGCTTTTGTTCTGGAATTTATAGCAGGTTTAACCCACTTCGCCGCAATGCTCTCGATTTCAAACCCCAAGGCTGTCGGCCATGTAAATTTTTTAAATTAGTTGTCAAATGCAAGCTGCTAAGCGGAATGCGATAACATATAACATATATACATGCATACAAACATCCAAGGGAAAATCGCTAACTGGCATTAATTAAAAGTCAAAATATTTCCAGAGTTTTATGTCCGTTGCGGCATGCTGCATATTATTGCGTGCCATGGGTGCATTGACTCCGCCTCGCGAATGAAATGCAACTCAATGGGAAATCGTTGTTCAAATGTTTCAGCCGACTTTTACTCGGCGAAAAAGTATAAACTTAAATCTTAGATAAGCCAATTAAACGAAGTTCAAGTGTGGTTAACAGTCCCAACTTGGAAAAGCTAATGAAATTGGTGAATGTTTCAGTGATAAATGTTTTGGGAAAGTATAAATCCACCATTTGCCATTTGAGATAAATAAAATAATACATAGTAAATTAAGTTTTCATAGCTTTCTTTTTTTGTTAAGCTAGTCTTAAATAATTTGAAAAGTTCGGCTAATTTTTCTGAAACAAAGGATTTTAAATTTTTGTTTTTTAGAACCACCATTTTCCTTTTTCGAACTTTAAATAATAAAGTATAGATTTTATTTTAAATTAAGTTTTCCTAGTTTATTTTGTAAATTTTCTTGTAACAAATTTTGTTTTTCTAAGCTAGTTTTAAATAGAACTTGTTACAATTTTGACTTGTACAATTTTGTACTGAATAAAAAGTTTGATTTGATAAAAGCCAAAAGTTTCATTGCATTGTAGAGAAGGAGGTTTCCTATGTCACCGGTTTTTTTTTCAGTGGCATCTAAAACCATATAATATTTTTTGCCCGTGTAGCTTAGCTGCAGCCTTTGGCTCTTTGGTTGCTTACTGGGTAAGCCGCTCCTCAGGCCTCATCGTAGTTGGGCTTATCGCCAAACTTGACGGTTCCCCGTTGCCGGATACTATCGCGGGTCTGGCGCTTATACTGACCCCTGGGCGCCTTGGCCAGTGGCTGCTCGAAGGCCACGGCACTGGGTCCAATGGGACTGGACAGCTGGAAGCCACTGTGGGCCACCTCCGATGGCCACTTTTCGCCGTGCATGGCGTCCACGAGGGCGGACTCCAGGTCGTCCTCCTCCTCCTGTTGCTGTTTGTGCTGCTGCCTATGGTGGCGCTGCTGATCCTGGAGGCGGGCTCTCAGGCTGCTCATGGCGAAGGATGGCGGTGTGGTACTGCCCACCGAGTTGTCCTCGTCCTCGCGGAGCACATAGATCTCCTTGTTGTGATGGTGGTGCTTACGTGGTCTCCGCGTGGTGGTGCTGGCTTCCCTTTCACGGAATTTCTTCAGGAACGAAGCCGGATAGTTGGGTGCCTCTGTGGTGGTACTGGTGGTCGTGGTCGTCGTACTGGAAGAACTACGATGTCTGGGCCTCGGAGGAGGTGGTGGCTGAGACCTGAAAGTCATGCCCTGACTGGGCACAAAGCCACTCTCCATGGAGGCCACCGCCTCCACCGTCTCCACCTCACCACTGGCCTCACCCGTATGCTCGGTGACCTCGTAACGGTGACCCATTTGCTTGGCCACCTCGTTCTCCGCCTCCTCCTCCTCATCCCTCTCATATTCGTAGCTCACCAACTTCTCAGGTTTTGGCAACATTTCATGATCTTCACCTCCACTGGATATATCGGTGTGCAGATGGGTTAGGGCCTGTGGTCTTAGGGTCACAAAAGATGAGGGCGTTTCGCCCGCCTTGTAAACGGGTTTCCAGCTCTGGTACTCCATGATCTTGCCAGATATCACTTCGTTGGAGGATCCACCTCGTGGTCGCTTCTTGAAGTACTTCTCCATTATGGCCTCATCGCTGGTCATGGGTGCCTTGCCCTCGGCTATGAGTTCCTGCTCCTTTTCCAACTGCCTCATTCGATGATCACCATGTATCGAGTGAGCAATCATCACCGTGGATTCGGTGACAGTGGGTTTTGGTATGGGTCTCCTGAGTTTAACCACCTTCTTGGGTGACGGCCTCATCTTGATGATCTTCATGGGCTTGTTGTTATGGGGATTGCGGATAATGTACTTCACCCGCGTCATCTCTGTGGGCAGAAAATCCACGTTGGACTTTTGGCTATATCCCGCCGTGCTTGGCATGAGATCAGTGAACATAGACTTCATCGCCCTGGCTCCATTGAACATTCGTCCCAACACGCCACCCATCACGGAGTTGTTCATCTCTTGCCACATAAAACGTCGCTGGATTCTGGGGGAAAAGTGAAAGTAAAATTTGCAAATTTTATTTGCCCATTTCGACTATCATTAAGGACTTAAGCTTCATTAAACGTCTTTAAGACATGTACGAAAAAGAGTGTAATTTGAGGAAAGTGCTTGAGGTTCATTTAAAGACTTTAAAAATCGTAACATAAGAGGTGTCTTAAAACATTTAATGTTTCAAATCGTAAACATTTGCTATGGCCAATTTGTTAGTTGAATCGCCGATCTCTTTTTTATCACTATCTCTTTCGACTTTCAGTTGATAGTATTTCAACACCTTTTAACACCAATCAAACGCTTTGATGTTTATCGTTTCCTTTTTAGCAAATTAACAAAGCCTCTTATTTTTGATCCTATTTTATGGACTCCACTCACCTGTGATCCTCTGCCTGCTGTTCGCCCCTGATCAAAATCAGCTTTAGCAGCAACAGCAGCCAAATCCAATTGATCTACGAGAGTTGAAGTAATCCAAATGCAACCGGATGCAAATCGGTTGACAATGTCAATTAGCTGATGTGTTACACTTCCTCGGTAATCCATTTCTGGCTTACTTACGCAATGCTTCCTCATGTTGGCCAATAGACTTGAATATTCCCACCGTTGCTGCTTGATTTGAATATAAATTTTCAACAGATTTTCGATTTAAGACCCTCTTTTCGTGGCTGCTGGCGAATTTCAACTGTCGGCGCCTGCGCGCCAAGCACTTGCTTTTATATACTACTAGTTGCAAGTTGCTAGTTGGTTGTTGCAAGTTGCTGGTGGCAAGTTGCAGTTGCTCCAATTATTATGGCAGCTAGTTGGCTTTGAGCTTGGCATTGGCATTTTCACTTTCGTAGTTTTGTGGGGAACAATGGGCTTTTGACTGATAGGCTGGCCGCCTTTCGTCGAGCAATTAGTTCCATTACTTTTTGGTATCTGTAGTGCCTGTGGTTTCTTTGTCTGTCTGTCTGCTTGGGTTTTCCTTCCTTTTTGCTTTCTTCTACTCTCCATTTCTGTTTGGCCTTTAGTTTCCGTGTGCATTTTCTTGCTGCTTGATTTCGCCTGCATTTTGCAGCTGCCTACCGGGTGGCATGCGATCTTTGAGTAAGTTTTAAATATTTCTTAAATTTCATCAAAAGCTTCGATTTGCACCAGGCACCAGTGCAACTGTTTAATTATGACTTAATAATTATTAATGAGCGTTTTCGGCTTCTGCCTTGCTGCCTGCACTTCAATTTATCGACGCCAGGCATTGCCTCACAATGTATTGCATCCTCATCATCATCGACCTCATGCGATATAGTGGTGTATATATAATCATCATCAATACGCCATCTGTGGGCCGAAACGTGCCAAACGATTCGGTTCGGTAAATGACTTTGTGGCGTGTGTGCACTTCTCTGCCCATCATCATCGTTATAATGATGGTCATGGTAATGCTGTTGATGTTTGTTGAGATATTTTTTTTTGTTTAAACAAAGTGCTGCACTCGAACGCATATATCTCTGCGGCAGGTGGCGCCACTTCAAAGTCAAATGCCTCATTATCAGTAGACGTGTGTCAACTGCAAAAATATTTAATGATATTTATTTCGAGATCGAGTGCTCATGAGAGAAATTAATTTTCATAGTTCTCTGATATTTATTAGTAATTTAAATCATCACTTTGCGGATTGTTTTGCCAAAGTAATTGAGTTGTATTGCTGAACCAAGAGTTTTGTTTTACGCTACCTATGTCAACTATTAGCAATATGTTTTAATGAAGCTTTTTGTGTGCTTAAGTTTGTTAAACATATAAGAATTTATATATTTACTGATATAGTTGTCAAATTGAATTAAATTCAAGTTAAGTTAAGTTGAAAGCTTGTGCAGAGTAACTTTAAAGGTATGCAATTCAAATGGCTTATTTCGTTTATAGAAATGAACTTGAATGCTCCGCCTGTGTCTACTTAAAGCCTGAATGTAATTAAATAGTTTGCCGCATCTATAGACTTGAACAATGTTTAATTAAACAATGGCTTATCTGTTCTCTAACGGGCCTACTTATCAGAATATCAGACTTCAATAAATTTAAGCCATTTTAAGCCGCTTTGGCTTGCCCTTTACGGACTTATCAAGTTCCAATAATTGCATTTGTGCACTAATTAAACATCTGTTAAATAGAACGAGGCGGACGGACATTAATATGTATGTATGTATGTATATATATGCAGTACCACCCAGGCATATCAATTGGGTTTGCTCAGCTCTTTGGTTGCCGGCACATTACGCATACGCAACGTTGAGCAAGCTGAAGCCTTGTTCAAAACGCGCTCCACGCTTCAGTCAATAATGTATTTAAAATGCCATTTGTGTAAATGGATTATGTAATCGATGCAACATTGTGGCAGTAGCAGCTAATGCAATATACCCCTGCCCCTGATCCTTTGGCCTCGCCATCGGAACATTGTACATGCTCCACTTGTATATGTACATACGCACATGCATATAGACATATTTGTGTTATTGCTGCCTAGCCTGACTTTGCTGATAATGCTAGCTTACAGCCGGAGTCCTGAACTCCTTGTCGTTGTAGTCGTCCTTGCATAAAAGCAAATTGATGCCCTAAGCCAAATATAAACACAATAAAACCAAACAAGCCGCAACAACAGTGAGCCAGCACACACGCACACAGAGAGAAAATGTCCTTTAAAACTATGAATTGTTTTCAAAAATGTTGATTTTGTTAAGATTAATCATATTAGCTAAGCAAAAAAAATTTTTTTATAAAAATGCATAGCAAAATCAATAGTTTAGATTAGTTGTTTGGCTAACAAATTATTGGATCTTTAAGAAAAAGTTCTTTACGCTGGCATTATAAGATTTTTGAAAGTCCTATATTCTTCAAATAGGTTTTCTTCATAGCTCCCAAATGCCTTGTTCATTATTCCTTAACAACATCAAAAACCATTGACCAACAAATGGACTGAGATATTTTTCCCAGTGGATACAAATGCCTGAAGGGAATGTGAGTTTGTGAAGGGAGAACTGGTTGGTACTGCCTGTATCCTGTATCAGTTGGCCAAGCATAAGGCGAAAGCTAACTGCAAATTGTATGAGCTCGAATTTAGCCTCGGTGCCTCAGATTTTTTTCTCATCTCGCCCCCTCAACTTGTAGCCAAATCGTTGATAACATTCGCATTTCGGGTCTTAGGATAGACACTCTTTTGGCCAGATAGTCAAGGCTCGAAGGATAACAAAAGCATTGCCTGCTGCAATAACTTTGACGAGCAATGGCAACATGCCGGAGAATCGGACCCTGATTGATACGGATCGATGGTCGCTTACATTAGACATCCCACAGTGGGCGTAAGGGGGCAGGGGCGTGGCCAGATTACAGATGACACCAAAGAGCTGACGTTGATGCAGTTCACTGGAGAAAGTTGGGAAAACAGGACAGGAAAAGTCAATGCAAACAATGAAACAGAAACTATTACAAATTTTAAAATAAATTATTTTGAATGGATTGTATATGTATGTAAATTTTTGCAGTTCACTACAGAAAGTTCAATAAATAGAGCAGGAAAAGTCAGTATACATTTTTAAAAATATTTTTTTTAAGTGAAATAAGTTTTTTTTTATATTACTGTAAAGCTTAAAGAGTTCATTTATGAATGCCACAAACTTGCTCCTTAAAATCTTATACATTTCCATATAGCTGACCATAATTGCCTTTAAAAATAAATGTATTTTCCCGACCTCCCTGTTTTCTGTTTTTATTTTTCTTGTATAAACCAATTTGTTGATATTGATGCTGCTGTTGTTGTTTCTGCTGTTGCTGCACTTAAAATTATATTTACGTTTATTTTGCCGGAGTAAAAATGCATTTACCTGACGGTCTGCTGGTCGAAGACCCCTCAACCTTTCGTCCTTTACCCGCATTTTTCTGGAGTCTCAGCAGTATCCTGATGTCCTTATTGCTCTTGCCTGCACTGATTTAAAGCCAGGAGCACTTCTGTTGTTCCGGTTTTTTTTTTTGCATTTTTCTTTATACTTTTCTTTTTAGTTGCTGTTACTCCGGTCTCGTTGCAGTTTTGCGACACCATTTTATGGTCGAAACACAAAAGATGGAGATGCTGGAGAGATATTGCGCATACGCCACGTTTTCTTAGCTCTCCATCCATGGATTGTGAGCTCATGCGAATGTGACTGGCCCATCACAAAAGCTTTGAAGTTGCATAGATAAGCTTCGGTTGGAGCAAATGCTGCATAACCCCAAGCGATTTGGCCGCGAAGGCGACAACTGGCAGTAGTGAGTAGTGGGTCGGTCTTTTGGGTAGGGCTTTCGCAGTGAGGAGAAAACATAAACTTATGTCATAAGCCATAGCCTCTTGGCAACGCACAAGGGTCCCGTTCCAGGCATTAACCCATGTAAGCCGAAGTGTGGCAGACAATGGCCGCGGGTCCCGCAGATACTAGATGCCAGATACCCAGGATGGCCAGAATACCCAGAATACCCCCATTCTATGCGCGCACACTAAAAGAAAAAGCATGGCCCGCACACATTTTAAGCTTATTTAATGCGCGCATAAATTATTCAAAGTGAACTGGATGGGTGGTGAGGAGGCGAAAAAAGCTTCGCGTCCTGGGCATACTCAATTATTTTAGATTATGTTTGGATTAGTGGTGGTCAGGAGGGCAGGACTCCACCCGGTTCAATGGTCCCTCCGTCTGGTTATTGCACTTTATTGTCATTGGAGTCGCACTGGCGATGACAGCCCTCCGAATGGCTTTTGGTGGAAAGCCGGCTACCTCCTCCTCTATTCTTTTTTTTTCGGCTGTGGCCTGCAGCCTGGCCCAATCAATATTTAATTGACCCATTTCAGGGCATTCTTTTGCTATGAATGGGGGAGTTTTTTCCCCGGTGAAAAGCATTTTATCAATAGCCGCGAATAAAGAGTGGGAGATTAAAGTTAAACCATAAGTCAATATGGTGAGTGTTATATACTTTTATTTTATAGAGTTTTTTAGCTGTTGGGGAGTAATTGTCGTTTAAACGATAGGTAAAATATGCAATTTATTCTTGTGTTTCTTTCTAGGGTTTCTTAGGGTTTTTGGTCTTATAGCAGGATTTTGTAAAGTGTTTTGGTCCTTGTAATTGATTGATTTTAGTATTGATTGAATTTTAATATATCCAACTTTGGGTTCATTTCAAAAAAGGTACATTTTATCATTTAATGATCTCTACACTCAAAAAAAAAATCACCATAAATATTAGAAAATCGCCCGTGATTTCAAAACGCCATTGAATTAAGAAATATTTTCTTGATTATAGAAAAAATGCCTACAATTTAAGGAATTCGCCATAATTTTTTTTTTTTTTTGTAATGAATAAGAGGAAGAATCCCACTTTTTCTTCAATTAATGGCAAATTTTTCTTGATTTTTTTTCTTGAAATAATGGTAAATTCTTACTTAAATTTAGGAAAGAAATACCCATATTTTAAGAGAAAGTGACTTTTTTTTATACATTTTGATGGTGGTCTAGCTGGTAAAGACGTCCGGTCAATAAACAATCGAACAAAAGTACCTGGTTCGAGCCCACGCCACGGCAAGTGTACCCTTTGTTTATTTATTTTTCTTTTTTTTTTTAATTTATGTAATT